TAAAACAATAAAGTTTGTTTAGAGGTGTGTGTTCACCCACACACAAAAAATGAGTAGGATTTGAGAACGTCGATGGCCATTGTGTTGGCATGATGTGAAGGTCATAAAGGTTATTTTTGGTTTTTAGAGTCTTAGGGTTATTTCCTAGTTTCTGTGACCTGGATTTTGGGCTTGCTAAAGTCACACTTCCACATAAATGAGGTAGGTAGGTGTTTTCTAGAAAAACTAATCTTGGTACAATCTGGGAATGACTGAATGAATACACCTTAAATGATATGAAGCATTTAAACCTTTTTTTTTACAAAGCAAATGATAGAATATATTTTAGTATGAACCCCTAGTGCATATTTATAAATGATACACAAGTGCTTTTGTACTGTTATATACATTATATAATTACAAATAATAAAATAAAAAAATTAAAATGCTCATGTTAAATATTTTCTCACATTCCAGAGAATTGTTTTGTGCACCACCTGGGATGCTTGCACGATTACACAGCCTGCTTGTAGAACTCTGGTTTAAATAACTGTGTGAGAGGGAACGCCTGGGTGGCTCAGCAGTTGAGTATCTGTCTCTGGCTCAGGGCGTGATCCCGGAGTCTCAGGATCAAGTCACCCATCAGGTTTCATGCATGGAGCCTGTTTCTGCCTGTGTCTCTGCCTCCCCCCCCCCCCCCCCCGTGTTTCTCATAAATAAGAAAATAAAATCTTAAAAAAAAAAAAAAACAACTGTGTGAGGATATTAACTTTGACTTTAGCTATGCCAATAATCCTTGGCCCAAGTGAAAGTTAATTGAGCTGCTTTTCAAGACCTCAAATCAAAATTTTTAGCTCCTGTACCTAACATGTGGCCTAGTATATTGTAGGTACACAATAAATGTTTGATGAATGTTGAATGAACGATGAAGATTATCCATAAGGATGCTTTATAAACTCATTTAATTCATTTTATCTGCTTGGCTCACGTCAGACTTCTCTCACAATGTATTCACATACTATATCATCACTAGTATGTATATCACTAGGCAGAAATGGTTGTAATACACATTGCGATTTCAGTGGTAAAGGGCTTTGAGCCAAGACTGGAGCATTTAATTGCAATGGAGGGCTGGTCCCAGGGACGGTTTCCACCCATCCAGATCACAATAGTATGAGGTGTTGCAAAATCTGCTTTAACAAAGCCCGTGGTGTGATACCCATGGGTTTCTGGGAGGTGGGTGGGGCACTGGCAGCAGTAGTAACTAAGTAATGGTAGTCTTAAGCCAGAGAGATAACAATATTAGGACATTGGGAAGGGCGTGGAGAAAGGAAGAAGGGCCAGTGAGGACACCTTTGTATTGAGTTTCAGGGCCTAGCTGTGTCTTAGGCCTCCTGCTCTTACAGTACATGTTCATCTTGGGGGCTCATAACTTCTAGCCAGTGAAATATCATCTATGTGCTTATATTCCAAACACCCACCCAGCAACATTCTGGATGCTTCCAATTAGTGTCCCAGGCAGGCACCTCAGACACTAACTACATCATCTTCATGATTAATTCAGCAGCTTTTCCCAACCCTGCTTCTCCTAAATATTTTCCATCTCCATGGGTAGTATTACCACCCTCCACCTAGATACAGAAACCTGGAAGTCCCCTTTGATTCCCCTAGCTCCCCACCTTTGACCTCTGTTTGGTTTCATTCCCACTGCCAGCATCATCGCTTGCTTGCTTATTGGACTCCCGAGCTCTGGTCTCAGAGCTTCCATTGTTTTACACATTATGCCAGAGTGGCTATTATAAACTGAAGTTTGGGTAATATATCCTCCTTGTTCAAGGCTGGTAAGACCCCCTTTTTTCTAGAGCTCCATCCCCATCATTCGGCTTCCCCACATGGCTCCTTCTACCTGGAGCAGTCTGTTTCTCCTCTTTTCACTTTCTCCTTCTGGTCTCAGCAGAGACATAATTTTTTTCCAGGAGCTTTCCCTTGACTCCTAGAGCAGACTCCACCTCCCTGCTAGGTTACTATCCTAGCATCCCAGAGCTTCCCTTGCCTTGCCACTCAGCAACTCTTGTTGAGTGGTTGTATATCTGTATTTCCTTCTAGACTGTGAACACCATGAAGGCAGTGGGCACATTTATCATCTTTATAACTATGTCCCCAGCACCCACAACAGTGCTGCCGTACGCCTCCATACATATTTGTTGAATACAAGAATGAGAGAATGAGAGCAGAGTGCTGCTCATCAGGAACCCAGCTAAGGGATTAGTCAGACTCAACAAACACATCAAGGGATGGGGTAAATGGGCAGCTTGGGGAACACTTAGGAGCCCACAATTTCTGGTCTATCAGATACCACCTTTACACCTTACAAAGGTATAACCTGAATTTACCTACAGAAGCAAGATGGTGTGCCTTATACTTTGATAGATTTGAGTTCTAAATTCTAACATTGTAATCCTGGCAAGCTAGTGGTAGAGCTGATGTAAGAATTCGTTGAGAAAGTTTGTGTAAAGTGCCTGCATGGTTACCTGGTATTTGGATGTGGCCCTTGTGGTCTAGTCATCATGCCATGCTCAGTGTAATCCATCGAAATGCTTCTGCTGTATAATAACAGTTAACACTTTTGAGTACGTACCTGTCCTCATATCTGCCATCCTTCCAAATGCTATGGGAGAATTAGCTTTTTATATTTTTTCTATTTTAATTATTTTATAATTATTTTTATAATTATCTTACTGTCCCCATGGGACTCTGTGAAGCGTTTCTCTTACAATCCTTACTTTATGAGGCAACCAAGGCATAGAGAGTTTGACTAAGGTGCCCAAAGTCACACAGCTGAACAAGATACAGCATTTGATCATCCTCGTGATTCTGTAACACAGCCTCTCACTTATTCCTAATATTTTTATTTGAATTTTATTCCTTCTCCACTAAAAAGTAAGATATTTAAATTCAAGGAGTACTGATTGAATCATCTACCATGTGCGCAACATTGAGTACTCTACGTGAAATTACCAAATACTTATCACTGACTATGACTTTCTATAAGAGGGGAATAACTTACTGATATTCATGGACTTTAACATCTTTGTGAGGGGATAAAAAAAAGAGCCAAGGAAATAGTATGAAAAGGATGAAACAATCTTTCAGAGTGGTTACTTCCTATGGTGTTCTTTTGATTGCAGATAACGCTGTGGTACACAGTGATGCTTCGTAAATGTTCATTCTCTAACGGCAGTGCAGTTTTCAGAGCTGATGGGCGTGATTCCAGAGTCCAGGCCCCTGTACAAGTTTTCAGGAAAGTTAAAGCACTTTTTTGCATACCATATCTGCAGCTTCTAAACTAAAAACAAACAAAAGAAAAAAAAATGTGTTAGTCATAGATCATTAGGGAAAATGTCATTTGTCTTTTGGTGAGTATGGTCTTAATAACTGTCATCAGAAACTTCAAAGTCTGTCTTTTTCAGGTTTAATTGAAAGTAAGTTTGGTTGCACGGACTCTAAAGCTAAGAAACAGACCTTCTCAATTAATTAGAATCAGTTCCAATTGGTTTTTTTTTTTTGGAGAAGTTCCTGGGATACGATTCATGATACACCTGGAAAGATGTATCTATCCAGTGGACTTTTTTTTTTCCATTTTGATAACATGACCGCCATTCCTCTGTTGTCCTAGAGAGTCAGAGAGTGAGTTTGTTCTACCCTTTTACAAATGAATTCTGCATTTCACTGACAGTGGGGGGAAAAAGAGCAAAAGTTATTTGAATATATTATTCAAGTATTTTATATCTGCAAATTACTTGGTACTTGTTCTTCTAGGCTCATCTGATTAAGCTACAATCAGAACGTCTGAGAGTTAGTGGGCTTGATGCTTCGGACCACAAGTTTATCTTGCCACAGAAGCCGACCAGCTTGCAGTAGGCCTGGCTTGGGGGCCCTGGGCCAAGGCTTCCTCAACTTGTCTGCCCAGATGCCTGCAGTTGATTCAAGCAAGTGCAACAGGTTTTCCGGATCTAAGGATCCTGTTTGACCAGAATAGAGACTTGAAAAAGAGACTAAAGGTAACTTCAGGGGCATAGATTAAGAGTTGAAGCACTCCGCCAGGGGGTCAAGTTTTCCAAACCACGCTTTTGCTGTCCTAGCCCACCAGTAAGGTTCGATCTGTTATTTGTACTTTTATGGGTTTCGCATTGCCCAGCCCAGAGGTGTCTTCTCCGGGTGTCAGGGAGTTCCCCGATCTTCAGCAGGTCTGGGGCAGGCCTGGGAAGGAAGGCCGTGGGGAGAGGGGATGGGTGAGCCTGGCCGGGCCCAGCCGAGTCCCTCCTCAGCCCCAGCCCCGGCCTCCGGCCTCCTGACCCGGGCAGCGCGGGGCTGCAGCGAGCCCACGTCGCACCGCCCCCTGCCTCGGGCCGCCCGCCAGGAGTTCGAGGCCTCCCGATCCGGATGTGATGAAAAAGAGCCACAGAGGGAGAAGTGTTTGAGGAGCGGAGGGGGGCGGAGGGGGAAAGGGAGGCCGAGAGGGGACGCGCCCCTCGGCGGGCGGCGGGGAGCCGGGAGCGGGGAGCCGGGAGCGGGCCGGACCGAGCCGGCCGCAGAGAGGGGCGGGGGGCGGGGGGCCGGGAGCCGGGGGGCAGGGGGCGGGCGCTGCAGTGTCGGGGCCGAGCCCGAGCGAGGCGGGGAGCGCCGCGCAGGGGCGGCCGCCGGGCCACCGGGCCGCAGGGGCGAGATGCCGCCGCCGCCGCGCCGCTAACTTTCCGGGCGGAAGAGGAGGAGGAGGGGAGGGAGGGGGAGGAGAAGGGGCTCCGAGAGAGCTGGGGGGGATGCCGAGGTAGGTGGCGGCCCGCGGCGGCCGGGGGAGGAGCAGGGCTGGGGGCCCCCCGCCCCTGGCAGCGTGCGCGGGGGGGGGGGGCAGTTTCAAATCAAAACTTCTCCGGGGTGGGGTTTGGGGAGGGCGGCGGAGGGGGCGGGCGTGCGGGGGTGTGCGCCGCGCTCCACAAACGCTTTTCTCCCTCTCCCCCCGCCCGGAGCAGTCGGCTGTCGGCGGCCAGCGCCTAGGAGCCTTCCCGGCCGCCCGGGGCGCGGAGCCCGGCGCGGTGCAGCGGCCCATGTCCGGCGCGGGCGCGGCGCTCGCTCCCGGGCCCCAGCGCGGGGCCGAGGCGGGCGGCGGCCGGCCGGGCGCCCCAGCCCAGGGTGAGTGAGTGTCCGCTTGCGCTGCAAGCCGCCGGGTCGCCGAGCGTCCCCGGGCGGGGGGGGGGGGGCGGGGGCCGGGGGCCGGGCTGCCCCGAGCTGGGGACTTCTGCACACTTAGTGGGACTCCAGCAAGTTCTCTAGGTCTCCCGCCCCGGACCCACAACCGGTAAGAGGGCGGGATCGGCCGGTCCCTCCACCCCCTCCCTTGCTTGGGCTGCGGGGGGCGGGGGGAGCCTGGAGGACGCGGTTGCCTCTCTCCTAAGCATCTGCGTCTTGGGGCCTGAGACTCCTAAGTGTGGGGTCGGCGGCGCCACCCCCCACCCCCGCCTCCCCCGGCCCTGGGCCCGCAGCCCCGCAGCCCCGCAGCCCCGCAGCCCCGCAGCCCGCGCCCGCAGCCCCGCAGCCCCGCAGCCCCGCGCCCGCCGCTGCCGCTGCCGCGCTCGGAACCAGCGCCCTCCCCGCTCCTCTGGCCGCGTCTCGCGGGCCGCTCCGCACCTCGGGGGTCTTACAGGTTCCTGTGGCCCGTTGCTCTGCGGTGGCTCACGCCTGTGTCTCACGGACTGTTTTCGTTGTGAAAAAACAACAACAACAACAACAACAAAAACATGCTTTAAAAGAAACACCTCCCAAGAATGAATTAACTCCTTTGTGTTCTTCCAGAGTATAAACACAGGCGACCTATAAAGAAAATCATCTTGTTCCTGGGAAACTTCCCTAGTAAGCTTATAAACAAGTCAGGCAATAGCCCTCTTTTTTTTTTTTTTTTTTTTTTTTTCCTCTCTGGAAGGTAACATACTTTAGGTTTTCTGCAGCCACGGTGAACAAGGGCCTTACTCTTCTGATGTATTTTCCTCTAAGGGTGGCTCTGATTTAAAAAAAAAAAAAAAAAAAGTTCTGATACTGATATAAGCTAAATAATTTCCCAGGTCTCAGCAGCCTGCTTTATACTCTTGATTTTAAGCATATCTGATAGCTTTTCTTTTTCTTTGACAATAATGTAGTCAGCTCCTTGGGATTGTTTTTGGTTTGGTTTGGTTTTTGTCTTAAGGCAGCAAAAAATGGAAAAGAAGAAGTTAATGTTGAACTCAGAAAAGGTGAAAGCAGAAAACATCCATGGCTAAATTAAAATGTTCTGGCATTCCAGGCTGTTAAATTGAATTATGTTTTATCATTGCTTTGTTTTTGTTTTTGCTTCTAAACAGTGAGTCATTTTTTTCTAAAGAGAAAATAGAGTGCATCAGAGAGCTAGAATGATAAACATATTTTCCCAGAAGCAGCCCATGTTCTGCACGTTGTATTGCCAACAGGGTCATTTCCCTGTTAGGCATGCTCCTTCATAGGTTTACCGACTCATTGATGTTTATGTTCACACTTGCACTGTTAATCACTATTGTTAAACAATGCTTATGTCAAAATCCATATCAAATATACTACAAAAACAGATTTGACAGTGATGATCTACAATGTCCAACTTTAACAATGCATCTTTAAGGTCAGAATTTGCAGTGGTACTTAATGTACCTGTGCAGATGCAATACTGTAAAATACCACATGATCGGACCTTATGAAATCTAGAATGTTCTGAGGTCGAGCTGACGACATACAACACCTACGTTATCAGTGTGAAAACTCTTGGGTTATATTGTACCTAACTGTTGGCCGATCCTCAGCAACATAGTTATATAGTGCTTTTTTATTAGTTCATCTTTGACTCACATCTTTTGAATAGGCCTCAGTTTAAGTATAATATAAAGTTGATTTTTTTAAAAAGGAAACTCCTCAGAATCTTGTTGAATACTGTGTCTCAACAAGCAGATTTCGTAAGGTGTAATTGAAACACAAAAAATCTTGGACTCAGTGGGTAGGGTACAAGATCCAAGATGCAGCCTTCCATGGGTAGGTTGTTTTTATTGGTAAAGACATTAGCAAATGAAGGGGCTTTGCTCACAGAGCATTCTACTCTCACGCTCTTGAGTTCTTTTATCCTCTTCCTTCTGTCCTTGGATTCTTTTATCATCCTTTCAGAAGAATGGTTTAATCATTTTCTGGTATGATGTGGCTGCTTAGTTAATTGAAAGTTAATTTAAAAATTTTATATATTAAAATCAGTGAGAAAAATGGAGCGTTTTATGAAAATTAGCAGAAAATATCTTTTCATGAAGGGGACGTATAAGGTCAAGTCTTACCTTGTAAGCAAAGATACATAGATGACAAGATAAAATCCGTACATATATTACTGCAGTATGATGAGCTATCCATCCTGCTAACTAAGGGCATACAGTGTTAAAGTTAAAAGACATTTTAAGGGGTCTCTAGTGAACTCACCATCAAATCTAGAATCCAGTCTTTCAGACGGTTGTTAGAAACCTACAGTGTAACTCTTACTCATCAACATTCAGAGTTAGGAAGGTTTTCCTTATTAATAGCATCCTTCTCTCTCTTTAAAATTTCTACTCTTTTCCTGTGATTCTGCAAGGAAAATTCTATTGCTTTGAAAGCATTAAAAATATTTTCTGTGTATTTCGAAAATTGTTACAGAGCAAGGATGGAAGCTCATATGCTTCAGGCTATAAGCAGGAACCAGGACAGAAGTCAGAAGATAGGGGAGCAGCAGGGATTGCGGGCCTTGAGAAGGCTCACGGGCCAGGAGGCGGTACGGTTCAGCTCCAGCTCATTGTTGCCATTTGGGCTAATATCTTCCAATACTTCAAGAGACACTGGAAATACAGATTTTTATGTATCATCTCTCCCTCTTTAAAAGTTGGCAATTGATTAAATACAATTTTTGTCCAAGACAACAAAGCAACCACACTTTCAGGCTGGAAACGGCCTCTAGGCAGCTGATCTGCTATCTCTGTTACAGAAAATAGAACGTAAACACGTACTCACAACTATTATGCAGAGTATCTGTATAAATGTCCTAGTAGGTAGATGATTTGGACCAAATTTAATTTCGTTGTAAAAGAGAGTGGAACTTGTGTATGTGTTTCATCTAATTGCCCTTTTTTTTTTTTTTTTTGGATTAATCATCCTAAAATTCATTGTGTTATCAACATGGAAAATGTAGGTACTTACCTTTTTGTGCAGTAGTTACTAGAATCCATATAATGGAAAGGGCTTTTTAATTAAGTGCTTCATTCATACCCTTGTGACTTGTAATTAGGATTTTTAGAAATAATTTGGTCCAACTGGCTCACTCTTTAGAAAGGATATCCAAAGAATTTAAGTGACTTGGCCAAGGTCTCATGCAGTCAGTAAAAATCGGGGTAGAACCACAAATTGCGGAATATTTATCACTGTGATAAATGTAGTTGAAGTAGAGAATCAGTAGAACTGTTTTTTACGGATGGGTGAATTGAAGATAATAGGCTTTGGATACTGTGAATCACTTGAGCCTGTTCCAGTCCCTGCATCACCCCCCGCCCCACACCCACCCCATTGCAGTTGCCAAGACTTAGTCTGTTGGACTGCGAGTGCTGGAATATACTTTAATGTGATAATGTGTGATTTAATGCACTCTTTTCTCTTGGGAGAGTCCTCTGAGACTATTAGGCAGACTTTTCATAGCAGGATGCAAAATGCCAGTGAAGTTAATTAAAAATAATTTAAAATAGAAGCTAGGGAGAAAATCTTCGAGTTGAAATTACATAAGAAGAGCTTTGACTTAGAAGCTTAGCTGAGTTGTCAGGAGTTTATAGTGGCTAATCAGATTTCCTTTATGGAAAGCCTGTTTATTTCAATTTATGCAATGTATGCTTGTGATACCCATAGTCTTCTACTTGTATCATACTGTTTTTTTCCTTCCGATTAAGGATGGCATTTCTCAAAGTGTGTCATCTTTGTATAGCTTCTATCTCTGGTTCCAGTTGGCAGTGATTGTGCCCTCCAGGAGACATTTGGCAACATCTGGAGTGTTTAGTAGACATACAGTGAATGGAGCGGGTCCTCCCGGGATCTGGTGGGTAGAAGCCAGGGATAATGCTAACTGTGTTACAATGCACAAGACAGAGCAGCACCTTACAACAAAGAATTATCTGGCCTAGAATGTCACATGCTCTCCTAATTTCTCAAGACAACTGGCATTTGGGCCCCACTCTAGATTTAAAGAATCAACCTCTGGATGGAAGGCTCAAGAATCTGCATTTTTACAGGCTCCAGGTATTCTAGTTGAGAATCATTGTTTTAGAGTCTTTTTTTCTGTAGAAAGACAAGTTATATTGATAGATTTCTAATAAGTCTCTTTTTTTTAATAGAAAGGCTTCAGAAAGCTTTTTAAAAGTCTTTTTCAAGTTCCAGATTTTAAATCCTATCACTCCCATATATAGTCTGTATTACTGCTCTTCAGCATTTTTATTACATACCTCAATTAATAAAAATAATGCTGAGCATTTATCTCCAAAGAACTTTCTAAAGTTCTGTGTACTAGAATACAAATCTGTTGTGAACTAGAAAAGAGATACTTAAATAGGAGTTGTAAATGGATGGGATAAAAATGAGTGAAATAGATATTTTAATATTTTCTTCCACCACCTCAGTAGGTATTCTTGTCCTGCCACCTTACACTTCTCTTTGGAAATCCCAGGATTGTAGAATAATAAGGAAAAGAGTGCATAATTTGCATATTACTTGCGTTCACTTGTAAGTGGAGTTTTGGGATCTTGATTATCCTTTCTCTTAGAAACAGTAATAAATTGAACCTTGCAATGTGACAAATACAGAGAGAAATAGACTGAATGAAATTGGAGTCTTGCAGAATGATGGGGCAACACGTTCATTCACCCATAACTATAATGCAAGGTAGACTGATAGGTGCTTTAATAGATGTGCAAAGAAAGTGTAATGGTAGGGACGCCTGGGTGGCTCAGTGGTTGAGCGTCTGCTTTTGGCTCAGGTCATGATCCCGGTGTCCTAGGATTGAGTCCTTCATTAGGCTCCCGGGGAGCCTGCTTCTCCCTCTGGCTCTACCTCTCTGTGTCTCTCTCATGAATAAATAAATAAAA